CCTGAAGATTGCATTCTGCATGAAGCTTTTTACACACTTACAAATAACGATAAGCCCATGTCAAAAACATTATATTACATCACCAACCTTTATGGAATCCATTCTTAAAGAATATAATGTATATTATCTAAAACAAACAGTATGTACATAAAAATGTTCCCAAACAATCATCAAACATAATGTCAACTAGACATACATGCACATACACATGAATCTACATTATCATCTAAATCTTACATAGACAAAGTAAAATTATTATACACTTACATACCTAAAGTAATATTTAGTTTTTCAGTTAGACTTGGAATCTATTAATTTCTTTGAACTTTGAAGGGACGTGTTGTCTCTCCTTGAATTTGGAATGCCATAAATTATGCTAATGTTTGTTTAAATCTGATTAACTAGTGAAAATCAAACAACACAAAAGTAAAAATATCAATTTTCTTTTTTCTTTTTCTCCATATCTCATTCTCTGATGAAGCTTTAATAAAAGTGAAACATGTCAGAATGATAAACATTTCCTATTTGTTCTTTATCTTATCATTCTGTCAGATTCCAATCCATATTTGATCCCAACTCTCTCTATTATAAGAGGCTATTTTGGAGGGCAGTCAAAAAAAAAGAAACTTATACAAAGATTCAGAAGTTATAAAATCCTTTATTCATTTTATACTGTTTGAAATAATTTAAGAGTTGAATCTTTTGTTAGAATCTTTGAGGTGAGGAATTATCAATATTATACTCTTTCCTATTCAGACTAGCAGGTTCATCTTGGTGAGTGGATGTGTGGGTGGCATAATGGATAGTGATTCAGAATGAGAAATTGGAGAGCCATGTTCAAATTCCAGTTGAGTTTGTTACACTCACTTACGTGCAAATACTGTTGAGAAAGGCATGAATCCATCTCCTCAACCCAGTTATGGGTTTCTGTCTATAAATGACATATGACACAGTGGATAAAGGCGTTGGTTAGATCAAGTGACAGGACCCAAAGAGTGTGAGTTCTATACGTGGTTAAGGCAGTGGAGAACTTGGAGAGGAGAATTAACAGGAGATAACTGATAACTGACATCCATTAGACATGGCACATGAAACTAGAACAGTCTACCCCTGCGAGCGAAATAAAGGGTTCAGTTCGACATTCAAACCACCTGAAGAAGGCTGGAGCGTACAACAGCCGAAACATAATAAATATAGCGACAAAGATGAGGACAATAGTCCGAATAATGTAAATAGTGCTAGTTATGGGTTAAATAGTAAAACTTGTATCTGGAAAAAAATCAACTTCGTTTCATACTTTCAGCCAATTTTCAAGTTGTCTTAACTTTAATATAAAAGTTTAATTCCAAATTTTAAAGGCTTGTCAATATTAGGTTTTTAAGCATTTAAAAAAAAATTGGGCTCTGTATCTTGAAATTTTGTGATGTTTAATTTCTTTTCGTTGTATCATATTTCTGTGTACTTTGCATTATTTTTGTGGTGTCTGTTTTTGACCGTATTTGAAATGTTACATTGAATAGTCAAAAAGAGGTCGTAAGTTTACATATCATGTACAAGGTTAATGAACTGTATTATGATATACACATCTCAGTGAAAGAAAGCTTTATTTCAAACCAAGGTTAAGGTCCCTTCTTGATAGAGAACAAGTCTTGATATCTGTGGTAGACTGGATGCCAATCAAGTCTATAGACTCCAGTCTGTTCTGCTATTAAACCCATAGCTGGGGAAGGAAGATATTGATTCATACCTTTTCCAAGGGTATTTGTGTGTAAGAGAATGTAAAAAACCCAACTCTAATTAGAACTTGACTCTCCAATTTCTCATTCTAAGCTGTTATCCATTACCCAACACCACACATCCCATGTACTTCTTGCTGTATCTGAAACTTCTAGCTATAAATAATTGATTGTAAAGAATTCTTTAAAATTAAAAGCTTGTGCTATTTTATATTGAAGTAGGGATTTGTAAAAGTATTTTATCAAAAAGAATTTATAATAATTCTGTATTTATTTATAAAATTTGATAAAAAACTTAGTTTATATTTTAAGGCAAAATTTTTTAATTAATCACTTGTAATGAATTGCAGCTCAGATTGAGCAATCAGAGAGCCAAGTTTGAATTCCAGTCAAGTTCATTAAATTCACTTTTGTACTAATGCCCTTGTGAAAGGGTATGAGTCCATCTCTCCCCTCCCAGTTATAGGTAAATAGCGGTACAGATTAGTTCTTATAGCCTTGAGTAATAACTGGTCTAAGAGAAGGATAACTGTAAATTCAAAACCTGAGGAAGGTTGCTTGGGGTATGGGCCAAGAGCAAACTACACCATATTCTGTGGTCTTCAACTGTTGGTCAAGAGAGAGAGAGGAGATGGGCGCCGCCAAGCTATGTGAAAGCCCAGTAAAAGGATCATGAGGATGAAGAATCAAAACAACACCATGCCAGATTTGCAGATCAGCCTGGAGGTGGTTTCCTTTTTCTGCCCTCAGATCCACCTGACAATTGTAGCAATTGAGGGACAGACGGTGAAACTAAACATGATATTATTTACACTATTTATATTTGGACTATTGTCCTCATTTTTGTTGTTGCTATCACGTTTCAGATGTTGTGCTTTCTGCCCTTCCTCAGGTGTATGTTGATCTGGGTAACCTACAGGGAATTCTGAACTGAACCCATTATTTAGAGTAAATAAAGTCTTCAGTTCAGAATAATTCCCTGTAGGTTACCCAGATCAATATACAATATACATATGAGGAAGACCAGAGAGCACAACGTCGGAAATGTTGTGATAGCAACAACAAAAATGAGGACAATAGTTCAAATATAAATAGTTTTAAATAATGATAACTCCTCATCCCAGAAAGTTGGACAAAAAAAGAGATTCCAAGACATTTGAGATTCATTTTTTAGCATCAACCATGTTATTGTTTTCCCTTCACAACATTTTGGTTGGTTTATCCTCTTGATTTCTTTAGGGAAAATTTTATCTGTTGTAGAATCTGCTATAATTTTGTTGTGATGCATTGTGGGATATTGCATACTGGGTTTCTGATAATTTATGTGTTCCTGTCTTTGTAAACAATATACAATTTAAAAAAATATGATATAAAACTGTATATTTAAAATAAAACTTTGACCTACCTACTGTGTAGCATAATGGTTAGAAAGCTTGTGCCATCAACCAATTTGTAAGTGCAGTGAATTTGATCATCATTAGGTGCTCCATGACTTTGACCATGTGCCATATTAAACTAGGTTTAGTAAATAACTGAAATAGAAGTTAGAAAGATATCAATAAAGGACTGAGTGTGTTTATTTTAAGGCGCCAAAATGAAGCTTTCCAATTTTAAGAGTTAAAAAAATGAAAATGTTGCCCATATTGAAATTCATTGAATTAATTATATCAGCCAGATTAGATATGAGGAATTCTCATTATTGACTTTCCAATTTCTTTTGAACTGATGTCTTTGTTTCTATCTATCTATCTATCTATCTATATCTATCTATCAACTGACTTTGTTAATGCTGACTATGTGATTTCTGTCTGAATTTCTGACATAAGGAGTCGTTATTATTTACATTCAGACTAATGTCCACGTCTTTGTCGTTACTACCACAACATTTTGGCTGTTGTACCCTATAACCTCCTTCAGGTATTTGTCAATCCAGGTAATTCAGAGAATTTCAAACTGATCACATTATTCAATCTATGGAGATAGATTGTTCTCATTGTGCTGTTCATATTTAGTGGTATCTCATTTTAGTTAATTGTCTTTTAGTACTACTAAAATTATGTTAGTCCCTTTTGCACTGAGCTCCAGTATATTTGTACTAGCTGGCCCTGGGATTGAACTCATAATTATTATGTCAACAAATTCACTAACCAATGCTTTAATTTTCTAGGGTATTGTTCAGTGCTGTGAGAATGGTTCCTGTGTCATGGGATTTTTTTAAGCTGATTTTTGCTATCTTGTATCAAAAGGGTTAAGAAAATTTGCAGTTTACAGCAAAAACTAGTTCACTTTATGGCAATCCAAAATTAGCAGTTATTCAAAATGGTTATTGTCTATTATTATTTATTTTTGACTTATATTTGCTTTCATCTTAATATTTTAATTGCTTTTCATTACAACTTTTATTTGGACCGTCAATCTATGGCATGTGCATTGATTGATTGATTTACTTTTTTTACAGCTTATCAACCTTTTGCAGGTTATTTAAAGTCAGAAAATATTTTTGGATTGTAAGAATTTTGGGGAAATAATGATTTACTGAAACAAGTCCTAATAATTAACCCATAGCAGGGAGGAAAACAGGTGGGTATTTACCTTTCCCAAGGGTATTTGCACATAAATGAATATAACAAACCTAACTTAAATTGGAATTTGACTCACCAATTTTGAGCAATTATCCATTACACCACCCACACATATGGAACGTGCAGGTGGTGTAATGGATAATGACTTGGAATGAGAAATCAAAGAGCCAAGTTTGAATTCCAGTTGAATTTGTTATATTCTCTTGGGAAAGGTATGAATCCATCTCTCCTCTCCCTAGTTATGGGTTAAATAGTAGGGCTTGTAACTGAAAAAATAATTAAAAAAAAATGATTATTATTACAATCCCCACAAACTGCTTTGGCTTTAAAAACCTGCAATAGATTGGTATGCCATAAAATACAAATCTGTCAATTAATCCTCAATTCATGGCTAAATAGACAGATTGGATAAAAAGCAATTGAAAATTAAAATGAAAGTAAATAATGGTAAAAAAATATTAACAGTCAACAATTATTCATCTAATAATAAAACTAAAATAAAGATAATGCTTATAGTTTATGTAATTTAGTTTTGCAAAAAGTCTCAGATCCGAACATACAATCCAAATGAAACTTCTGTCAAGTTAGGCCTTAAAGGAGCGACAGACCTCCTTTAAATCCATGCTTCTGTCATCTCCCTTTTCTTAATTCATCCCAAATGAGAATAGGTAAATGATCCTTCATGATCATTCATAATCTTCACACCTCTACAAAACCTTCTTGCAAAAAAAATTTTTTTAAATCTCTCTCTCTCTTTCTCTTTTTCTCTCTTCTCTCTCTCTCTTTCTCTCTCTCTCTCTCTCTCTTTCTCTCTCTCTCTCTCTCTCTCTCTCTCTCTAACATGTCAGAGATAAGAAAGTTCTAAAAAAAGCTTCAAGTGTCTAAACTTCAAAAATATAATGCCATCACTAGAACTTTTAGTGGTGCCTCTGACATGTGATGTGATGTGAAGCTGCACTTGTGGATGGATGTGTGCTCTGTTTGGTAAGGTAGGTTTCTGGTTGGAGATAAAGATGGAAAAGAAAAAAAGAAAGAAACAAGTACATAACTATTTTTAAATTTCTCTCTTTTTTTTCTTTTTTTCCAAAAACTCCAGAAGCTGAGAATTAAATTACAAGCTCAGTTTGCATTTACATTTCTTCTTATGCTTGAGAATTCTAATTTGGAGTTAAAGGAGAAGATTTTCTAAATTTAGAAAAATAAAAACGATTGAATAGTTTGGGATATTTTACTCTCTTTCCTCCCCTCTATTTAATGAAAGTTTTATTATTTATATTATCAACCTCCTCCTCCTCATCACAATCATCACACACACATATATATATATATATATATATATATATAAAATGTGTGTGTAAAAATGTACATATCAATGAAAATATATTTGTAAAAAGACAATATGAATAAAGACAGAAAGGAAACTTTTTCTTTAAATTTAATTTTAAATTAGGTATTAAATTATATCACTTAGCATCCTCCATAGTTTACCATTTATGAGTGTTGTTAAATTTAAACATTTTGAAAACCTAACATTTTTATTTCTGTTTATAAATACTTGTTGCTAAGTAAAATCCTTACATTTGTCATGATAAAGTCCATCAGAGGATGAAATGTTAGAAAGAAAATTGTTCCTTTTGTTGTTATTCATACATACACACATATATGTATTAAACACATACATCAATGTGTGTAATATATGTGCGTGCATATGTGTATGGGTGTTATGTGTATGTGTAATATATATATCTTTGTGTATCTTACTTATTATAAAACGCAGATTGTGTGTGTGTGTGTGTCTGTACGTTTATATATTTCCTACATTTTTCAACTTATTTCAACAAAACCTCACAGGACTGCGTAAAATTACCTTGCGGTTGTTCTGACAGTGCTAAAAATTGGAAAAACACAATTGTTTTTGCACGAAATCAATTTAAAAACACGATTAAGTCACCAGAATGAAAGGGGGACAACTCATATCGAGTTATACCCAGGTTGTTTGTGTGTGTGTTCATTTATATATGGGATCGGATTTCCTACATTTTTCAACCGATTTCAACAAACTTCACTTTTTTTTTGGCAGGTAGTGTTTCTTATTGTCATGCGCATTTATTTCTTTATTTTTACATTCAGAATGCTTTAAAAATTCCATTTACAAGACAATTGTTTATAATAAAATTCTATTCAATCGATAGACATATAACGAGTGAAAACAATGTTTTTGTTTGAGTTTGGGTTTGACCAATTCGTTAAAAAAAAAAAAAAAAAATAATTAAGACATGTGTGTCTGTCAACCTTAAACAATAATCTTTGTCAATTTTATTTTTCAGTCTTTATGATGGTCGATACTTGATCTATCTCTTACTGTCACATCCCCGGGCAATGCCGGGCTCTACTGCTAGTTATATATATATATGTGTGTGTGTGTGTGTGTGTGTGTTGGGAGTTATATTGTACCAGGATGTTTTGAAATTAACTTACAAGTTTATCCTTTTACTTATAGAGAAGTCAAAATGAATGTAAGCTATTTTTGTATCTTAAGCTTTTCAATCCAAACAATTTTAAGCATTTTTTAAATACGTTAATTAATCCATGAGGTCTTCAGTAAACTTCAGATCCAGTGTGTTATTTTTTTTTTTTAACACAAGATACATTTTCTTAAGTGTGGGAAAAAATTTCCCAACAGTATTATTATGTTACAAACAACTTGCATTATTTAGAGATTATCTTGGATATGCCATTAGGATCAAGAGAGTTAATGTCCATATCTTTCTATTTTGATGGCCAGATCACATGATCTCCCTATCTTCCATATGCCCGTGTGTCACATCTGTTTAGTTTACCTTTCTTAGTCCCTATATGTCTTCTTGGTGATAAAGATATTTGGGTGTTTTCCTTTGGGTCATGTGATCATTAATCAAGCCAAAGTATAAACAGCAAAAAAAATTCATTTGTTAATTTTCAAGTTATGCAGATTTTTTTTCACTTGAGAAAGTGTTTTGTAACATGATCTTTCTATTTGCTTACAATTAGTACATTTGTACTTGTAAAATCTACAACACCTGCATACAAAGTATATCTATCTGTCTTTGTCTTGTTGGCAAAACTTAAGATATACTGGCTGTATCACCTACAAAGAGATAAGACCTTCCCAAAAGGAGCCACCTTTTGGGTAGGTATGTGCAGACTCTAGTATAAACTAAGTATATGTTTACCTATTGACTCTAGTTAGTGCAAAACAAACTTATGTCTACCTATTTATTAATTCATTATGATTTTTTATACTATAGGACTTGTATTGAGTTATTAAGTTCTTAAAACAATCAAACTAGCCTACCCTATATCTATTTATCTTTCTATCTATTTATCTATCTATCTCAGTTTGTTCATTATCTATCTGTATGTATGTATAGCTGGCCACTCGTATTTGAGAATACCTGTCTACTAGGGTGGTTTGCCAATCCTTATTGCAGACACTTGCTCAGGCGCATTTGTGTTTATTCAACACCCACAGAGCCCACCTGTGGTTTATACTGCAACTATGCTGAGCAGACTTTGGTTACAGTTTCTGGGAAAGTGTGTGTTATCTAGCATGATCAACAATTTGAACAAAGCAAGGACATTCAAGCCCTCGGCCCCGATGACTTGTGACTTTGTGCTAGCACAGCTGTCAACGGCACCCAAGGGTTCTGTCTACCCAATTTTACTCACAAGGCTTGGGTCAACTTGTGGTATGGTTTTTCAGGCACTTTCCAAAGTTGCCGCATGCTGGGATCGATCCCCTCCAGTTTGATAACATCAGGAAGTCTCCTTCCTGACAAATCGCCAATGGTGAGATTTGAACCCGGGTCTCATTGTCAGAATGTCAATGTTCTAACCACTCAGCCATGTGCTCATTATCTATCTATCTTTTATAGATATCTACAAGTATCAGTTTTTAACCCTTATTTGTGTAGATGTTATTTTTCATGGATTTCAACTTCCATTCATTATTTGTCAATAAAAATCATGCAAAATTCCCCATGATGTCACTTTCTCACTTAATCAGTCATTGGCCAAATGACTCCTTTCCTTTGAAATGGCCAGCTCCTTTAAAATGTTCCTTCCTTTCAGAAAATCTTGCTCTTTTCTTGATTGATGAGTTTGCCATTCATATCTCAAATCTCTTCATCTTTCAGTGTCAATGTCTTGTTATTATCTCTATGGCCTAATATGTAATTTATTTGTCATAACAAGAATGCAGAAGTAAGAAAAAAAATGTATCAAGTGGGCAGCAGAAAGGAAATATATGGTTGTGTGGTCTGGCAGGCATAAATCACAACAAGATATGAATAAAAGAAATATCGGATAGAGATATCTGATATATTTATCTATCTAATATACCTGACATTTAAAAAAAAATTGCTTTCATATTGTGACGATAATTCTAAAATATATATTTTATGAAGTTGTAGAAAATCAACAAAAATATTTGGAAGGTTTTTATCACAATTATTTAGAAATTTATTTTGATATAGTTATTTTTTTTCTGTATGATGTTTAGTTTGCTTTATGCTAGCAGGATACCCCAGCATTGCTCGGGAATTGAAGCACTTAGTTTCTAAAGGAAAATAGTTTAAAGTGCTTCTTGGTAATTATTTAAATGCAATGTCAATCGTCTTCTGTCTTTTTGAATCCTGTCCTTTTATTAAACTTTCTTCTCAATAATGTTCTTTCAGTTTCTTTCACTCTCACTAACCCTTTGTATCTTAGTGGCTTTATCCCCTTGCTTGGAATGAAATAATTAAAAAAAAAAAGTTCCTAAATTAGAATTCTTTTTGGCAGAATATTTTTCTTTGTAAAATGTTGTGGAGTAAAGAGTACGCCCCTTGGTGATTCTCTGAACTCATCAATTACTATAACGATTTCCATGGTATGAGGTTAAGTAGTAGTTGTATTGAAGTCAGGCAGTTTGCTGCTGGGCTCATGACAGGCTTGTTGAACTCTATGCCTCTGGTAGAGAGGCACCCAGACGAGGCTATTCCTATGGGCAGAGTCTTGTCTGGGGAGGTAGACAAACCCCACCCTGTGTATGCAGCCTCTATGGGGAATTTTTGCCCAAGCCTACAGGCTCTCGGAAACTCCCCACAGCTTTGTGCCACATCCCACATTGTGGGAGGGTTTACCATTCGTATTGGACTCAGGCAGTTCAGTGTCAGGCTCGTAACAGACTCGTCAAACTCTTTGTCTTTAGGCAAAGGGGAACACAGACAAGGCTCTGCCTACAGGCAGTCTCATCTGGTGAGGTAGACAAACCCGACTCTGATTTTTGCTCGAGACTACATGTTCGGAAACACCCCACATCCCTCCTTGTGGGGAGGATTAGGTAAATACCAGTCATACTGGAGTCAGTCTTCATACTAACTATACAGGCGTGACGGCAATAGCCTAAGCATTATGTATAGAGAATACTTAATGAGTTACGTTTTACCAAGTATGAGTGCGTGTTATAACAATACCGCTACAAAACAAAGTTATAATATAAAAAAAGGAATTCTAAAATTAATTAAACTTTTTCTGAAAAGTCAGCTGAAAATAATCAATTCAGGGTTTCATGATAAACAGTGTTAACCAGTTTTGATCTCTCTGTCACTTTCTGGGATATATTTTCCATGAATGAAGATTTTGAATCTAAAAAGGATCTGTTAGACCTATTTCATGGATAACAGTTCTTTTTTATACTGTTTAAAGGGTTTTGGTATTTTTAAGTTTAGACTTTCATTTAGTTTTCACAAATTAAACTTCCAGTCTTAATGATGAGACCAAAACCCAAACACAGTTTCTTTTGAGTTTCCTTATATCAACCC